ATATGCCTATCCCCAGTTAAGTCTTCACAACTATTCCTGATTCCTTGTGGTCAGCAGAACTAAAATTGCTGCTAGATCTCAAGGAATTGGCATGCACTCATCCTCTCTTTCCGTTATCAGAAATAGTTTGTCAACCAACCAAGTCTGCATATCACACACAGAATTTCCACCAATGAGAAGGGTCAAGAACAAAATTGTGCGGGAGCAACAATTGGCCTGATTCTGAATATCAGCAAAAGGAAGCGGTCACAATAATTTCCAAGTGAGAATAGTGGCAGGATTTTCCTCAGATCTAGCCATTGTATTTTTTAAATAAACGCAATTTTAAATAAACTGTTGTAAACACAAATCTCTGTGCAGTTACCAGAGACCTGCCTCTTCAGTACAGGGACTATTAAACTTGCCGCCTCCTCCTCCTCCACTCCCCGTATATGTTTGGCTCTTTGACAATAAGTACCATTTGATAATTCTATTGTCTCTCTTACCTTCTGTGATTCTTGAAGTCAGTAGGAATCTTCTGTTGACATCAATAGGCTTTGGATCATTCCCTGAACTTTTTAAAACAAGAAAAGCCTAAATGGATTTTGAATATAATTTTTCAATTTAATGCTTCCAAATCTTTGCAAATGAAATGGCGTTTCTTTGTAAACAGTTTTTCAATTAGGAGAGTTCTGAAGGCCAGACAAGCTGTGAGATGAGAAAATGTGTCCTGGTCTCATTGTGACATGATTTAATACCCTGGCCACAACCCTTTTAATTTCATGAGATGTGGTTTTGAATTGTGTTCATGCTCATAATAGAATCTGATGTCCTCAAGCAGAGAACATGTAGTCTGAGATACTGCAAGCATTTGGCTCAATTGACTTGCTGCCCAGATATGTTAATATACTGACAAATTATCCTTCTGGGAGACTGCCTCTTCAATGTCAAGGATGTATTTTACAAGAGCTGAACAATACCATGAGAAAATTGAACTAGATCCTTACCTGCACTGCTCAGTTTGCTCAAAATTGCCTTTCTGCTCTCGCAGTTTTTGAGGGGGACAAATTAGAAGAGCCCCTTTAAAATAGTGTTGGATTTCCAGCATAGATTTTTTTTTTTCATGATCCATAAGTTGTTAGAATATAAATATGGCCTTTTCCCCGAAAGGAGAACGAACATAAAGACAACTTGCAAGCTGTTGGTGTAAAAAAAACCTGTATGGAATGAATGTGAAAATCCAGTTGCTCTAATTCACTTGACCTCTATTGAGTCTTTGTTCAATCCTGGGCTTTACCAACCTACCAGTTACACAATAATTCTCAGGAGATTTATTTTTTGGTTAGAGGAAGCACCAAAGTTATCCATTCACACCCAACACTATTTAAACACATGAGTAGTCTCACTGCCATCTTGTTAGTCTTTAAAGTGCTACATTGTCCTGCATTTTGATTTCAATAGGAAATTCTCACTTGCTTAAACTTAAGTACATGCATATGTGTGTTGCTGACATGGGGCCTCTGTAGAAAAGACTTGTTAAACTGCTTGCCTTCGCGGTTTAAGCAAACTGTAAATCTCTTTTTACTTGTCTTAAAACAAGTGATCCAGCTAAATCAGCTTTGAGACTAGCAGGACATTTGAGCATATTTCACAGTAGTACTATTTCAGGTAAGGCATATATCAACAGCTGTTAAAATTGAATGTTCCCCTTTGTTTTATAGTGTGACTAGCAGATGTACCCAGTGTTGCTCAGGTCTTTAACTGTAGAAATGTTTGGGGTAGTTTTTTTTTTAAATTAAAAGGAAAATGTCAATGTTTTATTTAAGTGACTGTCCAGGGTAGGAGGTTGAGAAGTGGAGGGTTGGTCTTAGATGAAGGGGTTGGGAGTGTGGGGGGACTCAGGGCAAGTGGTGGGGGTGCAGGAGTCAGGCAGGGGACTGGAGGTGTGGGCGTGGCCTCGGGGCAGGGGGTGGCAGGTACAGGAGTGAGGGTAGGGGAGTGGCACAGTTGGGGGACTCAGAGCAAGGGGTGGAGGGTGATGGAGTGAGGGCAGGAGGTGAAGGCCTCAAGGCACAGGGGTGAGCTGTGTATGTGTGTGGGGGCTCAGCAGGGAGTGGGAGGTGCAGGATTCAGAACAGGGCTGGGGGCGGAAGCTTACTGGGGCCACCTGAGGTAGTGAGGGTGGTGCTGCTCCAGTGGCAGGTCCGCGCAGGAGATTGAGGTTGTACTCCCTTGGGCCAGGGTTTCACTCCCTGGCTGGTGACTCCTCTTGTGGGAGGGGCTATGGGAAGCCAACCCAACCTCCAACTTGTCAGCCCCGGCCTCCAGCTGCTCTTCCCTGCCCTGCAGCTGTTCGGGAAGGTGGGGTTCCAGAGGGAGTGAGGCTCCAATAATCTTCCCTAGACTCAAGATGCCCCTCCTGGACTGCAGCAAGTTTTGGGGGCACAAGGCTCCAGGAAAGGGCTAGGGTGTGCTCTCTGGCCCCTGGGATGGTACTGGCAGGTCAAGAGTGGTGAGGCTGGTGGGTTGAGAAGCTTCCCCGTCCTTTGCTGTTTGGAGCAGAGAAATTGCCTAGTCTGGCGTCCAGCCACGTGGAGCCTTGTATGCAGCTGGCCAGTCTCTTGCTGCCGCCCCTACTGGTCACTCTGCAGTATCTCATCCCTCTTCTCTGCCCCCTCCCTTTCCATGTTCTGGAAATCATTCCCATTCCAAGCACTTCCTGTTTTCCTGCCTGTTTTCATGCTACTTTGGGCTACTGACCCAGTTTCCAGTGTGTGTTGATAGTAACCCCGAGAGAGACTATAGGGCACTCCTGAGGGGCCCTGGAGAGAGAAATCAGACAGGGTGCTATGGAAATTTTTCTGGTCACACAGGGTTAATCTACACAGCAAGGCAAAAGCTGAATTAAGCTATGCAACTTGAGCTACATCAGTTGTGTAGTTTAAGTTGAAATAGCTTAACTCAGCTTTTGGCACTGTCTACACAGCAGGAAATTGAAGGAAGTACACTCTTGCTCTTCCTTTCACTTCCCTTACTCCTTGTTACCGGAGGGTTACAGGAGTCAGAGTAAGAAATCCTCCAGCTCGTCGTCATTTCAAAATAATGACTTGCAGTGTAGATATTCTCTTTATTTTGGAATAATGTCTGTTGTTCAGAAATACCGCTGCTGTGTAGACATAATAATCAGGAAGCCAGGCAAATAGTGTTCCCAGTACGGAGCCTCTAAGGGAAGTAAGGTTTTTTTGATGCTGAAATTAACTCCAGGAATTCCACTATTTCATAGTTTGATAATATGATTAACTAATGTTTTGACTAGACTAATTCATTACAGCAATTTAATTTTAGCATAGAAACTCAGAACGTTTGCCTCATTACATTAAATATCTTAAATTTTATTATATGGCTTCCTCATATATTATATTAGAATGTACCACTTCCATTTTGAATAGCTAGTTAATTTAATTGCAGAAGTTACTTATATCACGGGATTACAATAAATTCAGAGGTTTCTTTTTCTTTGATTTTTTTTGTATGTATAACTCCCACTAAAACCAACTTTCAGATGGGTAGTCATGTTAGTTTGTTTCAGCAACAACAACAAGGAATTCTGTGGCACTTTGAAGACTAACACTTTTTGGGGGGCATAATCTTTTGTGGGATGGCACCCACTTCAATAAACGTGCTTCTTCATGCATCTGATGAAGTGAACTCCAGCCCACAAAAGCTTATGCCCTAATACATTTATTAGCCTTTAAGGTGCTAGAGAACTCATTTTTATTAAAACCACTGTGAACCATGCTTGCATTCAGGGAAATATACATGCTTTCTGCTCCTTCCCAGATGTTTCCATTACCGTTTAATATTTCTCTGTGCTTCTATTTCCTAAGTATTTGTGTTTCCATTTATTTGTACTTTTTTCTTGAAGAAAATTACTGTAGGGAAGTACCTAGTGTTGACCAGCAAGTAAATGCTCTCTCATGTACATTTGTGACTAGTGGCTCTTGGTGTATATGTACTATCCAGGGCAGTTGGCTGTCAGTTATTAGGTAAATATCACACCCTCAGAATTAGTGAGCTGGATATATGGAGGAAATCAAGATTGCATTGCATGAAACTACAAATAAGGGAAGTAATCTTTCCTGGCTCAGGATATTACCCAGTCATTTACTGATGGGTGATATGGTAGAAGGTTCCCCTGTGTGCAAATTGTTTCATGGCTGTCCTTTACAGGTTGTCTTGTACCTTTATCTGAAGCATGTGGCACAGAATATTATACATGATGATCCATTGGCTGATTCAATATGGCAATTCTGTGTTCTTATTGACTTCCTGCAATTAGTGCAGTTTATTAAAAAGCTTAGGCTAGTCTACACTACACCTCCTGTTGATCTAACCTACACAATTTCAGCTACACAAAAAGTGAAGCTGAAGTCAACATACTTAACCTGGTATCTTCCCTGTGGTAAGGTCAGCAAGGGCTGCTCTCCCATCAATTCCAGGTACTCTTCTCATCCTGGAGGAGTACCAGAGGCGACAGGAGAACACTCGGAGGTAGATTTATCATGTCTGAGCAGACGCAGTAAATCAACCGCCGGTGGACTGTTTGCTGTAGCGTTAATCCACTGTGTAATGGAAACAAGCCCTTAAAGAGGACTCTTTGATCATGTACTTAAATGTGGACCTGTTCCCACTGAAATCCATGCCAAACCTCCATTTGACTTTAAAATAGTAAAGGTTTGGGCCTTTTGCCCGTTTTTTCTTATTTGCTCTTGAACTCCCTAATGCTATTTCAGTTCCCCTAAGAGAACTGATACGGCCTAGCTCATTGGCTTGTCTAGTAAGCGCTGAACTTGACCTAGACTACGGAGGTTTTTGTGAGTTTACAATCCTCTCTTCTCTAGAACATTAAAGAAAATATTCAATGAAGGGTTACTTAGAGCAAATGTGGGAGTTGCTATATTACATGCTGTTTTAATCAGTATCATATTTCTGATGATATAATGGAACTTACTCTTTTCTAGGGAATCAGCAGCCTCTTCAGCTCCTTAAAAGTGGTGCGACTCCTACGGCTTGGTCGCGTTGCCAGGAAACTGGACCATTATCTGGAATATGGTGCTGCAGTACTAGTGCTATTGGTCTGCGTGTTTGGACTAGTAGCCCACTGGCTAGCATGTATATGGTACAGCATTGGGGACTACGAAGTCATAGATGAAGTCACGAATACAATCAAAACAGACAGCTGGCTCTACCAGTTGGCTTTGAGTATAGGGGCACCCTATCGGTACAATAACAGCGGCTCAGGGCAGTGGGAAGGAGGCCCCAGCAAAGACTCCTTGTATATATCTTCTCTATACTTTACCATGACAAGCCTTACAACAATAGGATTTGGAAACATAGCTCCAACCACAGATGGAGAGAAGATTTTTTCAGTGGCCATGATGATGGTTGGCTGTAAGTAGAATCATTTTTATTTTATTTTATTTTGCATATAGATCCTTGCTTTAGTACAATATTAAAAGAAAAGTATTTAAACCAAATGCACTGGATCATTGTACTGATAATAATTGGTTTCATTTTAAGCTTCTTGTGGTTGGCATCAGCACTCTTGGTACATAGAATATATTTTAGCATCTTCCAGTGCAGGTAAATAACACGGGAATAAAGCTGAAATGACCACAAAAATTGAATTAAGCGTGTGATTAGATTGCAAGGTATAAAGTAATGAGGCTAGGATATCTTTCCATTTTAAAGATCATTTTGAGTGCATTTCAAGAGTCTTAATTTGCATTTGGTTAAAATCTGCACACTCCCACACAGTGCCCAGCTGAAATTAGTCCATAATGTTAAAACAATCATTCTCTTCAAGGTGTGTTCGCTGTTTGTCCAAAAGCATAATGACTGGGTAAGGTGGTTGTGCTTTTTACTGTGTTGGCTTGGTTTTACTGTAAGCTCTATTTTTATCTCCTGAGAACAGTAACTTTTGTCACCATGGAAGCTGGAAGTAGAAGAGTTCATTGCAAGTCACTATATTGTACCTCTTCTCCATTTCCTGCTGTTTCACAGCTCCTCTAAAATAACTTTAAAATGACTGTACAAAGGAGACTTTCTCGGGTTTTTTGTTTTTTTTTTATTGTTTTTTTTTTTTTTACTGTCTAGGCAAGAACACCAGGCAACTCTGTTGGTGAGACGTTATCTTCAAAATATGGCATTGTTTGAGAGGTTGGCAAACTATAGCAAAGGGCTCTTGAAAAAAATATAATAAATATTAATATAATGTGGGGGAAAGAGGCACATATTTTACTGTTCAACAATCATGATCCTTGGTACGTCTATTAATGCTTTGCTTTTTCTAAGCTATGGACAACCACTTAATGATTATATAACACGGGTGCAAACAAAACCTTTCAAAATAGGATTTGCCTAATCTCTTTGCTAATTAGCTCAGCTAACACCATGGGTCCATTTTTGCAAAATACTGAATTGTATAAAAGCCACTTTCCTGAAGCTCCTCAAGTTATTCAATCTATTTACTATTTTTAGTTTTTTCTGTTTGTTTTAAAGAGCAGGGGATTAGCAGTCAGTCTGCCTGCTTATGATGTGCTGTGATACAATTTGTTTAATGAGTCTTTTTACAATTTGCTTTTAATGTGCTTCAGTGAACCTTACAATGTATAAAAATCAACTCCCAAAAGCTAGATTGTTTTTGAGCTACTGTGTATATACCCTAGAAACTATACAAATGGTGACTAGTTACACATTTTTTGTTGGTGGTGCCTGATTCTATGTGCATATCTCTTGAGTACTGGGACAATAGAATGGTTTTACAACATTTTCAGTAGTTCAGTAATCTTATTTTCCTTGCTTCTTTTGGAGAGCTCTAATGCTGTGCAGAGGAAGGGATTTGTACAGGGAATTCAACAGTGTCATTAAATGACCTGAAGCAGGGCAGGAGAAGTAATAAAAAAAGGAGGATATGGAGCTTGTCACCTTTGCATTTCCTGAAACTGGACCCACTGGACATATTGTTGCTACATTCTTCTTTGAAACGTATCAGAGATAAGAACGAGTCTGACAAAAAATCTTTTCCCATCCAAGAGGCTGTTGTTGATAGTGATCCTAAGCGTTATCAAAGTGACACACAGGCACGGCGCATCACCATTTTGGCAGAAACTCAAAATGGTGCCTGCAGAATTATCCATGGGAATCGGTGACTGGGTTTGCAAGGATTAGGATGAAGTGGGAGTGAGCCTAAAAATCTGCCTGTCCAGAGAATGAACAGCAAGGGGACAAAATCCTGCCTCTCTTTCTAGTGTGTAATCTCATTGGCTTGGGGGTGGCTTTTGTTATGTGAGAAAGGTGAGCAGCATTTTGCCTATAAAAGGGAGATAGAGTAGAATCCATTTAAAAAAATATTAAATCTGTGGAAGCTTGGATCTCTTGTAAATATAATAGCAAATGCTTGAGGATCTGATTGTCAGAGCTGGATGTGCATGCCCAATGGTGTGGATCTAATTTGTGCATCCAGGTATCATAATTGTGAGTAAATTGCACTTAAATCTAAATAAAATTGGTCACTTGATGCTTACGTGGCTAGTTAGATGGCTAACTAGCTTATGCTTTGCAGTCATGGGATTTGCATGTGTTTATTAGGCGACTGGATGTGTATTGGAGTGTGCACATATTAACAATCTGAGTGTGTGAAAACCAAAATGGAACTATACAAAGTGTGAAAAAACATGCAGGAGAGGCTGTAATAAGTAGAAAAGAATTTTTTTCCTTTGGGAGACTCTAAACTATAGTGCTAATCCTGTAAATGTTTGCTAATACCAGTAGTTGGTATTGGCAACATTTTTCTAACTGCCAAATAAATGTCTTAAGCTTAGCACTGGAAACAGAGATAGTAATTTATCACAATCCCAATGGCCTGCACATGCAGTCTTCCTCTATGAAAGAAATTTGTTGCTGTAATCAATGAGTAGGGATTTGTTGTGCAAGCCAGAAGTGTGCTATTTTCAGTAGTGAAGTTATATGGCGCAGGAAGATGTATCTGGAGCAATTGCATGAATGATCAGTATTACAGAAGGGTATACATTTAACAACTAATGAAGCAAGAAGTCTGTGCAGCTGACAGCACAAATTGCTGTGTGGAAAAACAAAGTGAATGTGGTTGGCTGTGCATCTGGCAGATCTTTGGTCACCTGACTGTTCATTGAGGTCATGCTCGCTTAGCAGGTTGTTCAGCCTTTCCTCGTTCATCAGAGAGAGCTTTTAACACCTCTGCTCTGTGCTCATGGAATGTACCTTGGTTTTCTTCTTAGTCCATTTTGGTGTTTAAAGCTAAGTTATTTTTTTTGTTTGTTTGCTGTATCTGAACTTAAAAAGAAAACAAGAAACTACAGTAAGCAGTACTGCTTTTATTGCAAGGCACCTGTGATTCTTGAGTGAAGTTTGGGCTGTTTAAATGTGTTTTTGTTATTTTTGGAGGCAGAAAGTACATTGGGAATTCAAAGCAAAATGAGCTATAATAAATTGATTAGGTCATTGCATCTCCTCTACTGCACGGATCGGAGAGAGTGGATATGTCTGTCCAGTGTCTTGCCTGAAGCAGCAGTATCCTGTCCCGGATGAGGGACCTTTCCCGCAAGCCTCCCATTAACTCCTAGCAGCTTACACTCTCCCCTTATGTATTCCTGTTTCTTCCTTTGTGACTTCCTCTGACAGAGTCCCTAGATCTGCCATTGATATCAAGAGTAACTGAGTGGACTTGGTCAGTTTCACATCACTGAACATGTTGGGGAATGAACCCGAGGTGTGTGACCAGAAATGTGAAATTTACCAAATCCGGTGACTTTCATTATGAAGTCCATGGCTTGGGTTGCAGACCTGCTACTTAGGGATGCTAAATATAGTTTAATTGATGAATTTTCTGTCAATTAGTCAATCAGCAGGGGAGCTGCAGTGGGGTTAACTCTCGGGTCAGGAGCTAACCCCACTATAGCTCTGCCTTTTAAATGTATTAACAGCCGACAAGCACTTAATACATTTAAAAGTCTGAAGCACAGCAGGGCAGACCCTGCATGAGCCAGCACATCTGATTGCAGGCTCGTGCCAGTCCATCCCCGCTGTGCACCAGCCTTAAATGTAAAAAGGCTGGAGCGCAGTGGGCAGACCCGATGTGAGCCAGGAATCAGCTGTCCTGGTTCGCACTGGGTCCCCCCCCCCCCCCTGCACTTCTGATTTTTAAATGTATTTAAAAAGCAGAGGTGCAGCATCTGGAACTGGGTGTGAGCCGGGAATCAGCTGATTTCTGGCTCATACCCGGTCCCAGCTATTCCCCTGCTCCCTGTGGAGATGGTGCTGGGGGGAACCGGCTTTTAAGTCAGCTGCCCCTATCACTGGCTCCTCAGATAGAGGCATCAAGAGGGGAGAGGAGTGACTAGTCGAGGGACTAGTTGACTATCTGATAAGCTTTTGCTAATCGTATAGTCAACTAGTCACTCTCATCCCTACAAAGAACCTTACAGGAGAAGCTTGAGAAGAAAGAATAACAGAGATGGAAAGAGGCAAAGGGGGAAAAGATTGAGGGGAAGGAAGAAGCTGTAGGAAGATGGGGATGCAAGGAGAATGCAGACAAAGCATCAGGAAACAGAAAAGAGCACTGGGATGAGCAGGGAGAGGGTGGATTAGAGACACAAATTCAGCACAGTGCTTCATTCCTACTTTCTACCTTGCTGCCAATTGTAGAAGAGAATGGGTTCTTTGGAAAAAGAGCTTTTTTTTTCTTCCCTGAAAGAACCCTGTCTAGACTGCAGTTTTTTTTAAAACCCTTTTTCGTAAAAGTGCTCTCGCATGATTATGCAAATGAAGCGTGAGATTTGTAAATCTGCACTTCATTTCAATTTTCGATAGGGCTCATTTTACATTCCTCTTTCAAAAGAGGATTGTGATTTAGATGTCGCCTCAGAGAGGGCGTGGTGTGGGCAGGGAGGAAATAAACGACTTTGGAGGGAGTTGTTCTGTCCATAGGCCCGTGGAGGTTCTGGCTCATGAATTTTTCTACAGAATTTAGAATGCTTGTGCTGTTGTATAGCCCTGCCGCCTTCTGAGATCTGCAAACCACTCCTCCTTACTCGGATGCTACTTTTGGGGCCCCCGGTGTGAATGGGTTGTGTCTTACTACTGGTGGACATACTGACAATAGAAGCCCACAGTGCAGCCCCCTATTTCACATACGCATCAGCATCTCAACTGGGCAACATCTTGAGTGCTTGCCTCTCTGTGGGGATTGTGGTGCTGCAGTATTTCCTCCAATAAGCGTATGATTGTAGCTGTGTTATTGCAGACACCCAAGACAATGAGGCTATGTCTAAACTGGCATGATTTTGCACGAGAACTCTTTTGCGGAAGAGTTCTTGTGCAAAAACTCATCCAGAAGAGAGCGTCTACACTGG